TTAATTAGGACTGCAAATAATGTAAAAACAATAATTCATGAAGATCACAATTTTCACGAGGTATAGTAAAACTATAGACGAAATTGGTGCAGAATTCAATGTATGCCAATTTTTCTAATTTTGACAACAAACCTTCATGATTACGTACGATTTTGTATGCAAATTGTGTGATCGTGGGGAAAAGTTTCACGTCAGATGAAAAAAGGATTCTCTTCTCGTGAGTTAATTTTTGAAATAGAATAAGGTCCAGATTTTATTTATTTTTATGTTATCAGAATAAGACTTATTTTAATTACTGTTCATTGATGTTAGATTAATATATAAAATTCCCCACATATACATCAAATGTCCCGCCTTGAATATAAGATAGGGTCTCCAAGATTCTCACAGCAGTTGAAAAAATAATGGGTGGTTTACTTATATAAATTTGGACAATTCTTTGTTCATTAACAAACTAAATTGGATAATTTTCGTTAACATTAGAAATCAATATTTTTTTTAAAAATGGATGACACAAGAAAGAAATATATGTGCCAAAAACTAATTATTGAACAACACAAAAGATAATAAAGGGAGTTGATTTTTTTTTAAGTTAAGTTTGTATAAAATAATCAAATATGAATTTTGAAAATAATAGATATTTGCTGTTATAACAGATAAAAGATGATATACTAATGTAAAAATTGTTTGATAGTGATGAATACATATTATATTATTTTATTTGTGGCCATTTTTGCTTGGCCATAAGTGAATAGCTTACGGCATTTATCATTTGAAAAAAATACAACCAAACTAATGGTTGGATAAGGTGATCGAATGTACTTTTAATTTATTCTAATTGTCTGCAGATCAGATTGGGATGAATATTTTATTTAGAAAATAATATAAGTTGGAGATTAATTCTTTGTGGAATGCAATTTAATTTAGACCACTTAGGCGAGTTGGACTGCTAGCAGATACTGATTTTAAAATTTAAGTCGGTGGATATGAAATACTATTACTACACCTCATCCTCATTTGTCATAGTATATACAATAAGATGTAAAACTCATACAAATACACAAATAATAATAATAACAATAATAATAATAAGATGTAAGCAAATATTATCTGTAATTTGTGGATTAGAGAAATTGTTTCCGATAAATCCTCAATTTAAAAAAAAGTTATTCACGTAAGGTTGCAAGAAGAAAACAAGATATTAAAAATATCAAGATACATATACAAGTAAAATGAATCAACAAATGATAAAAACTTATTGAAAATGAGAAATTATAGGATTATTTTATAATTTGTGAGGTGATACATATTAATTGAATTTGTGAAGCAATGTATACTTATTAAGAAAAAAATTTAAGAATATAATTTAAATCATACATTTTATTATTGTTCTTTATGAAAACATAAATATAACTTTGTATGAGTGCAATTCATCTCCTAGTAAATGTATCGAACTTCATTAAAGGAAAAGGCAATTATGAAAAAAAATAATCAAACATTCATTTTAAACTTTGAACAATTCAATTATTTTAATTAATGAAAAAAGACCCAAAACATGACTTAATATGAAATAGAGGGAGCTGTACAACTTTACTATTGCTAATTTACAAATAAATAAATATTTTTAATAATATACTCTCTACATCTCAATTTATATGACACATTTTTTTAATCTATTAATTTTTTTTTACTTATCTATGATTAAAAATAAAGTAATTTTTAATTTTGTTTTCTTACCCTGAATACTCTCTCCGTCCTTTTTAGTTTACTTGAGAGATTTTTACTTAGTATACCTATTAAGAAAATAATGACTTTTAGTTTACCATTTTACTCGCTATATTTTTTAAAGACAATAACTCTATATTAATAAATTAAGAATTTAATAGGAATTTTTTTTTATCATTTTCAAAATTAAGAAGTAAAAATGAAATCAAATTAGAAAGTACTTGACAAGTATATGGAGATAAATATCTAAAATTTAATTTTAATTTTAATTTTAAAAAATTCTTGCATTTTGTAGTTAGTCAAAGGAGCGCAGAATAAATTGGAGATATATTGATTATTAGGTGCATGAAACTCCCGAAAGTGATCATTTATTAAAAAGTGTTTGGTCAAATAAGACGAAGGTCAATGTGCAAACGTGTGCACAATTAATGCCAAACGCCCAAAATAAAAGGTAATCCTACCTTCACTAATTTAACTTATTTTCCCAAAAATAAAAAAATAAACCTATTATTCTTACACAAAAACAATATATCTATTACTCCAATTAATTATAACATGTCCATGTTTTCAATCAGACATTTTGTGTTTAAGTTTTACGAATTAAATTTAGAAATATAAAAAAATATTAATTTTAAACTTAATTCTATCTCAAAATTAATTTAATAAAAGAAAATAATTATCCAAATACTAACTTATGAAAAAATGATTATTTAAATTTATATAAGAAAGATCACTGATCTCATCGATATAATTTTTCTTTTTCATTTTTTATATCAATTAATATTACTTTATCTATCCAATAATAATTGTCAACTATTGACTTTACACAATTTAAAAATCATAAATAGAAGGATAATTTTATTATATCACTATTTGAATATAATAAATATAATGTCTTAAGAAATATATAATTAATGATAAGGATAAATTAAGAGCTGAATATAAAATTACCTAATTTTATAAAGTGGATAAATATCATTATATATTCCAAAATAATAATGGACAAGTGTTGTTAGACGGAGGGAATAGTACAAGGAAGGCCAACCTCCAAAAGGTCCATTAAAGGTCGGCGCAAGTGTAATATATTAGTCCCAGCACAGCAACAAAAGAAAGGTGTCACATATTGTTACTGTTTTTACATTAATTAATTATTAGTACTACTACTACCTTTTTTCGACCCAACTGGATAATGATTTTAACAACAAATTGCTTGGACCTAAATTCATCTGTTCAAAATTTGACATGTGTCTGCTTAGTGGAGCAATAAATATCATCTTTTTACCTCTACCTTTCCAAAAGTTATAACTTCAGTGTTCTTACACTAAGCTAACATAGTACTCCCTCCGTCCAACAAGATGGTTGGACGGAGGGAGTATGTTATTTTTTAATGTTTAGTATAAAAATTATATGTTGGTTCGAACGAATTCATTGTAAAAAACTTTAATATTGTGTTTTGTTTTTCTAGAGCTAACCTGCTGTAAATATAAATCAAATATAATTCATTAGAGTCAACAACTGCTGATAAAAAAGAAACAATAAAATGAGAAACGTAAAAGGGAAAATATATAGGGAAAGACATGATTTTAGAGATAATAGAATTATTAAAATCGAAGACACGTGGCCTGATAAGGGGCATTTCATGGTTCTGAATTAAATAGGTTATACTACTTTTCTTGTGTTCCTTCTCTATCTCTATAGATTTTGTTACTCTTATTATCTGGTTGGATGGTTGTTACAAATTATGAAATAACACATCCAATTATATTGTATTAGTTTGATGATAAAATGTTTGAATAAATTGTATTACTCCGTATTTTTTATTATTAAAGTATGAATTTATAAATAATAAGGTAATTAAGTACATTATTATATTAGATTTATATTGTTATTTGATTATGATTTAACGATATATTCAAATATCAATCAAAATAACATTGATAATATGAATCCCTCCATCTCAATTTTTATGATATAGTGTTTAAAAATATGATTATTATTTTTATAATGTTGCTAATGTCATTAGATATTTATTAAATAAAAAAATATTTTATTTTCCTTTAAATCAATTAAAAAAAAGTGTCACTTAAATTAAATCGATTAGCAGAATACAACAGGTAACATCCATCCAAACAAGCTGTTAACCTTAAAGCTGGGGTACAGCAACAAAAGAAAGGTGTCACATATTGTTACTGTTTTTACATTAATTAATTATTAGTACTACTACTACCTTTTTTCGACCCAACTGGATAATGATTTTAACAACAAATTGCTTGGACCTAAATTCATCTGTTCAAAATTTGACATGTGTCTGCTTAGTGGAGCAATAAATATCATCTTTTTACCTCTACCTTTCCAAAAGTTATAACTTCAGTGTTCTTACACTAAGCTAACATAGTACTCCCTCCGTCCAACAAGATGGTTGGACGGAGGGAGTATGTTATTTTTTAATGTTTAGTATAAAAATTATATGTTGGTTCGAACGAATTCATTGTAAAAAACTTTAATATTGTGTTTTGTTTTTCTAGAGCTAACCTGCTGTAAATATAAATCAAATATAATTCATTAGAGTCAACAACTGCTGATAAAAAAGAAACAATAAAATGAGAAACGTAAAAGGGAAAATATATAGGGAAAGACATGATTTTAGAGATAATAGAATTATTAAAATCGAAGACACGTGGCCTGATAAGGGGCATTTCATGGTTCTGAATTAAATAGGTTATACTACTTTTCTTGTGTTCCTTCTCTATCTCTATAGATTTTGTTACTCTTATTATCTGGTTGGATGGTTGTTACAAATTATGAAATAACACATCCAATTATATTGTATTAGTTTGATGATAAAATGTTTGAATAAATTGTATTACTCCGTATTTTTTATTATTAAAGTATGAATTTATAAATAATAAGGTAATTAAGTACATTATTATATTAGATTTATATTGTTATTTGATTATGATTTAACGATATATTCAAATATCAATCAAAATAACATTGATAATATGAATCCCTCCATCTCAATTTTTATGATATAGTGTTTAAAAATATGATTATTATTTTTATAATGTTGCTAATGTCATTAGATATTTATTAAATAAAAAAATATTTTATTTTCCTTTAAATCAATTAAAAAAAAGTGTCACTTAAATTAAATCGATTAGCAGAATACAACAGGTAACATCCATCCAAACAAGCTGTTAACCTTAAAGCTGGGGTATAGGGGGTTTTAGGGGTGGGGGTGGGGGTGGGGGTGGAGCCCAAAAATGGTCCTCTGCTTTGCTGGCTTCAAGCTCTCCATTGTTGTTTTTTAATGGGATTTGTCTGCTCTATGTGACCATAGTTTTCAGTCTGTGGCCTAATTGAATACTAATAACACTACTTCTCTCTCTATTTGATCACTCTATTTTCCACTATTTTCTTTCTTGAATCTCCTTCATCCTCAAAGAAAAGTTTAGAGAAAAACAAACAAAAAGATAACTGTTGAATACCCACTTTACTTTTCCTTTGATTTGATTTGATGGTTTCACAGATCTAAACCCCTTTTCACTTTCAGATCTTCAAAGGTGAGTTTTTTTATTTCCCTTTTGAACTTATCTTATTTATATTCAGCTATATTTTACTATATGAAATTTGGGTAGTCAAGAAAAAAAGTTGTCTTTCTTTATCTTGTTTTCAGTTGGTTTTGAGATAGTATGTGTGATTCTTGAAATTTAGGTAGTCAAGAAAAAATTGTCTTTCTTTAGCTTGTTTTCAGTAGTATTACTTTTTCCTTTGCCAAAGTCAGACCTTCTGGATTCAAACTGTCTGACCACCATATTGTACTATATTGAATGACTACTTTGAAAGTTTTCTGTTTGTATTTTTGTTGAATTTTCCATTTTTAGAGTAATTTATTGTCATGTGTGAAACATTATAAGTACACCATAAATCATTTCTTTGCATTTGCATTAAATTCAGTGTTAAACTGGAGGTGGCTTCTTGGTGTATCATACAGCAAGTTTTAAGATTGTAATACTTGTCAATCTCATTATTTTCCTTTATCTTACTTTTGTCATTGGTATTGTTGGACTTGTAGTATTATATTACAACAAAGGCAAAGTTGAGATTTTTATGAGCAAACTTAGAAGTGAGTCCTGTCAAATGTGGAGACATAATTGGATGGTGTTTTGGATGAGATGAGGCATGCCATCTGGATTGATGAACTTCTTGAGGGCCTGTTTTCAGCCAAGGGCTGATGGACTTGTTCATACAAGTTCTTCAGATTCCGGTGGTCGTCAAGATGGGCTTTTATGGTATAAGGATACAGGACAACATGTAAATGGCGAATTTTCTATGGCTGTAGTCCAGGCTAATAATCTACTGGAGGATCAAAGCCAAATTGAATCAGGGTGCTTGAGCTTGCAGGATTCTGGACCATATGGTACTTTTATTGGAATTTATGATGGGCATGGGGGACCTGAAACTTCAAGGTTCATTAATGAACACCTGTTTCAGAATCTCAAGAGTGAGTTCTTCTAACCAATTTGAGTAATAGCTCAACTTTTTACTCCCTCCGTTTCAATTTGTTTGTCGGGTTTTGACTTGATACGGAGTATGAGAAACAAAGAATACTTTTGAATCTTCTAAAGACATGTAGAATGTACCAAAATGCCTTTTAATCTTGTGGTCTTAAATATGTTACATGGAAAGTTGAAATTAACGACTTGTCAAAAAATGAAAGAGATACTCTTTTTGAAACGGACTAAAAAAGAAAGTAATTCAAACAAATTGAAATGGAGGGAGTATATCTTTTACAGCTAAAGAGGTTGAATTTTAACTGTTTCATATCTGTCTTCTTGTTACATTTGATATTTAAGAATGTCCAAGTCCTATAAGATTATTAAGAACCATTTACTTTTCGTAGACTATTGTTTAAATAATCAAGTATTAAGTATATATATATTGCTATAGCAGCAAGGTTTTTTTATTTTTTGGTCATTTTGATGAATCTATATTTCTCTGTGGAATAATAAATGCAGTGACATGGATAGTGAGGATTCATATAGCCGACCCAACTTGCGTTTGATTGAAGCATATTTCTTTTTGTTGTTTATTATTGTGTGGAATATCATGGGCAACTATGTATGATTTTTGTCCCTTTTTAAGTCTTCACTCAATGGCTTTCTCCAATTTGTGTAGGGTTCACATCTGAGCACCAGTCTATGTCTGTTGAGGTGATTCGGAAAGCATTTCAAGCAACAGAAGAAGGTTTCCTCTCTGTTGTGACTAGACAATGGCCGACGAAACCACAGATTGCTGCTGTTGGATCATGCTGTCTTGTTGGAGTTATCTGCAGTGGAACCTTATATGTAGCCAACCTTGGTGACTCGAGGGCAGTCTTAGGGAGACTTGTTAGATCAACTGGCGAGGTTCTTGCGATTCAGCTCTCTGCAGAACACAATGTGAGCATTGAATCTGTAAGACAGGAGATGCAATCTTTGCATCCAGATGATTCACAAATTGTAGTTTTAAAGCACAATGTCTGGCGTGTCAAGGGGCTTATACAGGTAACTTCTATTCCATTTTCCTTAGCAGTTTCTGTTTTATGTTTGCTCAACGCAAAGTACCGATTTGATCTTATTATTAATGAGTGTTCTTTCAATAACAATATACACATTACGCCTATTACTAATTCATACTACACTCTCCCCCTAATCGTTTATGCCTTTTAGAACTTTAAGATCGGGGTGCTCCCAAGGCCTAGCTCGAGTGGCAAAAGGTGGAGGATTTGTGGCTTAGGTCGCAGGTTCAAGCCCCACACCATGCAAAGCGAAGCCCGGTATTTAAGTGGAGTAGGGTAGAGGGGCGGGTCCCATTATCCACCGAGTTTAGAAGGCTGTGATTGGTCCAAAGGGCGGGTCACAGACGGATTTCTCGGTTATAAAAAAAAAAGAACTTTAGGATCGGGGTTTCCTATGTCCTTGTATTTTCCTTTTCTTGGGAGATGTAGGAAACTGCCATTCAAGTAGCCTATATAGTACTATATGTTTTTGGTTCATTGACTTTGAGTTATGAACATTTCTTTGCTTTCACATATAGCAAATGAACGTTTGTCTAAGAGTGACACAAAGTTGAAAAGTTTAAATCTCGAGGTTTTAATGGCAAGCGATTCTTTTTGGAAAGAAATTCTTCATAAACAAGATTATTTGAAGAAACCGAAATTGGAGATTCTTGGTATTTACTTGACTACTTCAACTTGAGAAATGAATGGATAAAAAGAAGTATAAAGTACAGAAACCCCAATAATTTGGGGGCAAATTACATCCTATCCTGAAGGTTTCTCAAATTACAATAATCCCGGATTTTCCAAAACTCGCGGATGCATTGCTCCTTCGCCTGATACATAGCAAATGGTACATAAGTTATGTATCAGATATGTAAGTTATGTATCAAATACATAACTATAACTTAGATTCATTCTAATTTTGGTTTGAAATAATTGGTGTTATGTATCAACAATAACATTTGTACCAGATACATTGTACACAAACAAAATTGTAATCTATCTTATAGAGGTGGAGTGGTGTATCGGATGTTAAGAGAGAGAAGGAAAAAGGGATTTTTTGTAATTTATTCAAATGGTAGGGATTTTTAGAGATTATGTTATCTTGAGTCATGTAATTACATAATTTTCCCTAAAAAGAAACCGTTAAAAGAGTATTTCTAGATCTAAACGCTTCCTTTCCACCACTTTATGAGGTGGAAATGGTACCCTTTTCTGTGATAAAGGTGATAGACGTGATATCTTTTTGGTAAAACAAGTAATTTTACTGGTTGTGTTTATATTTACATGTGTAAAGGAATATTTGTTGTTTATGGAGAGGCTTCATTATTCTTTTCAGTTTGATATCTTTGACTCTGCGACTGTGTGATATTTAGCAGCAGATATAGTATCTTTAAGGTATGGCCAAATGCATAAGCAATATGAATTAGAGTAGCAGACCTAAAATATTTTTAATTTCAACTTTTTAATCAATTAGTAGGAACAGCATTTGAGGCCCCATCATTTTTCGCCTTCTCCTAGTAAGTCGGCAGCGACAGTCCGATTAGTATGTTAAATATTATATTGGAGACTCTAGGTTTCTCGGCTGACATTTGGAACATGATTATGTGTCCATATAATCCTGAATAATCATTTTTTTAGAGTTATTATTGAAACCAGAATATAGAGCTGGCAGAACAATGATATGGTCATTGAAGTAATAAACAACAATCACCAATTTTAAGTTTTCTGTTATGTGGTAAGGTTTCTGTTGCAGAAACTTTATATCAAAACAAGTTCATGATAAGAAGGATTACCACCTTATCCAAAAAGCAAAGTAAGATCGCCATGGCACAGGAATATAAAAAGAATCGCCCGAGAGATACTTATATGACTATAAAGAGTAGGGAAAATTCAAGAAAATTAGTTACTGCTGGGTGACTTAAGGGTCCTTCATTCAGTTATACTTCTTTATATCTTTGGTGTAGCTCTAATTAAATGTTATATATCCTTTTAAATTTTTAAAAATCCATCCATATGTTTGGAAATTGATACTCTGCCTTTTTTTTGTATTGTAGTACTCTAGTCAGCTTAAATCGTACATTGTATGAATGTCTTGCGAACAAGGGAGCTACCCTCTTCCGGGATGTTGGCATAATTTTTGGATGGTTTAGAATGGAAATATGAACCTCAATTTCTTACATGTTAAATAAATTACTATTTCATCACAATCTATATAAAAGAAAAAAAAAAAAGCATTCTTAGGAGCCGTCATGACACTGAGTTTCTCTCCTTGATGGAGCCTGCAGCTAGACCTTAGAGAGCTAGATTTATTTCTCGAAGTGTTGCAGATCTTCTGGTAAGGTATTCCCTGTGCTAATTAATGGCTTTTGACATTCATTAGCTGTTTCAATCTTTCAGAAATACTTATCTTTTACTTGTTAATTTAATGGGGTACGATACTTTCTTTAGGAAGCACATTTAGTAAGGTTGTGTCTTTCATGACTCAAAAAAACTTTGATCTGCACTTAGGATGACTGAATACTTTATTTTGCAGATTTCAAGATCCATTGGTGATGTGTACTTGAAGAAATCTGAATTCAACAGGGAGCCATTATATGCTAAGTTTCGCCTTCGAGAACCATTCGGAAAGCCCATATTGAGCGCAGATCCAGCAATTTCAGTGCACCATTTGCAACCTGACGATCAGTTTATCATATTTGCATCGGATGGTCTCTGGGAGCACCTAAGTAACCAAGGAGCAGTTGACATTGTACAAAATCACCCACGAAATGTAAGATATCTACCTCCATCATGCTTCATGGACCTGTCTAGTGTTTTGGCTATTCTACCTATAGTGAAGCAGTTTTTTTATTCCTCAACTGTTGTTGGCTCTTTAATCCGTTCATTTTACTCATTGACATCCTGCTTCTCTCTTTGGTAACTGGTAGTAAATAATCTAGTGCTGCAGTTGCATTAGAATTGATTACATTGTATCTACGTTTCTTTTAGGCAGGAGAAATTCATTATCCTATCTCGACTGAAATGCCGAGCTATAGTGTAGTGTCGATTGCATAAATTCCAATTGAGTCTCTATAGCTTTTATAGTGTAGTGTCGTTTAGTCTAGATATATAGTACAAAAGCTATATGTTTCTAAACTCCTTGAGAAGTTGAAAAAAAGAAACAGTGGGATCAACACTTAAAGAGGCTTGTTTCGCCACTTGACAGGGGATAGCTAGAAGGTTAGTGAAAACTGCACTACAAGAAGCAGCAAAGAAAAGGGAAATGAGATATTCAGACTTGAAGAAAATCGATCGTGGAGTTCGTCGACATTTCCACGATGACATCTCAGTAGCGGTTGTGTTCCTGGACTCGAACCTTGTGAGCCGGGCTAGCTCTGTCAAGAGTCCTAATATTTCTGTTAAAGGAGGTGGCATTAGTTTGCCTACAAAGACTACCCCAACATAAAGTTGGTGCAACTTTATGAAGCTGTTGTTGTACTAATATGTATGTTGTGAATACCAGGTAGCTTCAAGAGCAGGCCAACAATTTTTTAAAAATGTAATCTAACTGAGACTAGTACTTGCATTTAGTTCCTGTGCCTAAGAAAGGTACTGGAAGAAAAAAAAAGTATCTTTACAAATATCACTTTGAGTTATTTCCTTCTTGCTTCTATTATTTCTCCACCTTTTTCTTTTCCTAATTTCGTTTGGCTTTTGTATAATTATTATTATACTATTATAATTTCATTTCTTTTATCTTTTTGATGGGACATTTTGTTTTGTAAAGAAGCTATATTGGGATTGTAATATGGGAGTTAAATAATGACAAAATTATCAATAGATATATTTTTATTGTTAGATGTTGGATTTGTTGGACAAAAGATGACATATATAAATATAGATAGATTTTAATTTTGGCTGTTCTTGGATATTGGAAGGACTCTGAAACAGGGAAATTTTGTCATTTGTTTTTTTATTTTATTTCAGCATTGTTGTTCTATATTGTATCATTTGCTATAAAACTAACATCACGATTATGGTAAAACTAATGTTGGGATTGTTTATATATCACAAAATTTTTAACCAAGTACGGAATAAAATAATTCTAGTTATTCTTTATATCCTTGTAAGTTGTAACTAAGCAACCAATAACAGTATGTTTCTGGCTGTGATTTATAACCGAGAGGTTGATTATGGAGGGTATGCGAAGAGGTAGAAGTAAGTCAAAAAATGTATTGGGGAGATAATTAGACATGAGTACATAACATACTTGCAAGCGGTAGTTTATTGAGGACATCATTCTAGATAAGAAGATATGAAGGTCAGTGATTAATAAGGTAGAAAGATTGTAGGTTGTCGAGCATTGTCTAATCTTCCTTATATGTTTTGTTATTAATACTCACATACTGTCTTATTCTTCAGTTCTATTATTAAATGTTGTTTTCTTTGTTTTGGGTATCGTAACATGTGTTATTACTACTGTTACTCTTCTCCATGACTATTTCACAATGAGTTGTATTTTTCTTACTTGATTTTATTATGTTTTACTTGAATGGATATAGGTAAGACGGCGCATACACCACTCGATTCAAATTCCACTAAATATATCATTATTGTTGTAACTCTCTATACACCAAAGGTGGGGGGCAAAGTCAATATACTAGTGATAAGTTCAGCAAATTTAACTTTAGTATAATTTTTATATTTATATGTATACATAATTTATTCAAAGTTCGATAAATAAAAAGAATTATAATTTAAAATTCATAAATTAAAAATCTGGATTACAAGTCCCGGTCAAAGTCATAATTTTAACTAGGACAAATGGAGTACTTTTTTAAAAAAATATAAGTTAAAATTAAAAACACTACTGTCGTGGAATAACTTTAATAGCAGTATCCAATTTTATTTTGTAGAATTGAGAGAACTTCTTTATTGTTTATTAAAAAGATTAAAATATATACAAATTGTCAGAATGTCAGGCATATTCCCCCCACCACAAGAAGACGTTCTTCATAGTATGCAGTAGTCAGTCAGGTTAAAAAAATATAAAAGTAATTTAATACGTTATATTTTAGTAAAAACCATGTACATTAAGAAATAAATAAATGTAATATAAAGTTTATTAAATAATGTCTCTTGAAAATTAGACAGTATTAAGAACACAGATTTATAAGATTATAATTGAAAAAAGATATTGTATTAATTTTATCGTGATTTTTTAGCATGAACATTTTATTTCTGCTTTTATTTTATTTTTCTAAAATGTAATAAATCAAAGGCTCAATTATCAACGACCCCATGATGGTATTTTTCTGGTAAAAGAATGATTATTTTACTTGTTTTTATGGCTGACTAACTCCTGTAAAAGCCCCTACTTTATTGTTTTTTTTCTTTATAAAATCTACTTATCCAATGGTTTGTAAGATCATTTCCAATCCCACTCTATTTTACTCTTTATTTTCTATATTTGGAGAGTAAAATAAAGAATTGGGTCTCTTTAGGGCATCTCCAACCCAATCCTCTATTTTACTCTCCAAATATAGAGTTCTCTATTTTTTCAGACAACCAACTCCAACCCAATTCTCTATTTTACTCTCTAAAAAAGAATCTTTTTCTCTCTCCTCAATATTATATTATTATTTCTATTTCATTATTATTTTCTTATTTCATGATACACATCCTTTATTTCCTTTTTTCCAAATAATCACTTTATATAATATTCATGTAATATAAAAATTTATTTTTTCAAATTCATTACTTAATATAAAATTATATTTTTCCTAAATTTATAAATAACATAAATTGCAAGTTAATATTATATAATATACAAATTAATGGACAATTCAAATAAAAGTGAAATTATTAGTGAAATAGCATGATTCTTGTTTCATCGCGAATTAATTATTATGTTATGTATTGTATTATATTGTTATCTTGTATTTAAATTATCATATTATGTATTGTATTTTCAAACTAAAGTCTTCATCTTATCATTTTAATTTTGTGTATTCTTTACAGTGAAAATTAATAATAAAATCAAATTATATTATCGACGAAAATTTAAAAAAAAACTATTAATTCGGGATGAAAGTAGTATATATTAAATAATATATTTTTTAAAATGTTGTACTATATTTAAAAAGAATTACAAATATTAGAAACTTATTTTTAGTTTTATATGAAAAATAATATGTTAATTACAAATAAAGGAAATAATATTACAATAATGAAAAAAAGTGAAATAGAGAAGTGAATAGTAGTTCTCCAAATTTGGAGAACTACTATTCACCTCTCTATAAATAGAGAATAGAGAGCTTTTTAGAGAGTGGTTGAAGACCCAATTCTCTATTTTACTCTCCAAATATAGAGAATGGAGAGTAAAATAGAGTGGGGTTGGAGATGGTCTTGACTCTCTAAAAAACTCTCCATTCTCTATTTATAGAGAGGTGAATAGTAGTTCTCCAAATTTGGAGAACTACTATTCACTTCTCTATTTCACTTTTTTTCATTATTGTAATATTATTTCCTTTATTTGTAATTAACATATTATTTTTCATATAAAACTAAAAATAAGTTTCTAATATTTGTAATTCTTTTTAAATATAGTACAACATTTTAAAAAATATATTATTTAATATATAACTACTTTCATTCCGAATTAACAATTATTTTTAAATTATTTTTTTTTTCAATTTTTCGTCACTTTAAGAGATAATTTGATATTATTATTGATTTTCACTATGAAGAATGCACAAAATTTAAATGATAAAATGCAAATTTTAATTTAAAAATACAATACATGACATAATAATTTAAATACAAGATAATAATACAATACAATACATAACATAATGATTTTTAAAATCACAACAATAATTTAGTAATCTAGTAGGTCGTTTTCAGATATAACAATATTCGAAAAAAAGATAGTGTATGATCTAGAGAATTGTTGTGTTTGTGATTGTGGTTGTGCTTGTTGATTTCTTTTTAAATTTTTTTGTAGTTGTTCTTTAAAATTTACAATAAAATATAATTTTATATTAAATAAAGAATTAAAAAAATATACTTTCATATTACATGAAAATTATATAGGGTGATTATTTTGAAAAAAGAAAGAACGGATTTATATTATGAAATAAGAAAATGAAATAGAAATAGAAATAATAATATAATATTGAGGAGAGGAAAGAAGATTCTTTTTTAGTAGAGTAAAATAGAGAATTGGGTTGAAGTTGGTTAGAGAACTCTATATTTGGAGAGTAAAATAGAGTGTAGGGTTGGAGATGCCAAAGAAATAATATTGACACGTGTTGTGATTCAATACATCCAGGGGTCGTTTGGTACAAATAATAATAATAATGGATTAGTAACGCATGAATTAGTAATGCAGAGATTAGTAATGATATGTTTATTTTAATCAGGTGTTTGGTTCATTGTTTCCCACCTCATCTTGTGATTGAATTAAAACTCTATAAAAAGTTTTTTCCAATTATACCCTTGAATTATTATGTGATTGGGTCAAGGTAGATAGTTGCCGGCAATATTATATTTTTAATGACCTTCGAACTAGCTATGAGAAAAATAATTTTGTTGTCATGTTTGCTATTTTTTCACTTGAATTATTTGACAATAAATAATTGTCATCTTAATAAATTGATCACTCACAAAATTTCAATTTAAAAAGATAAACCATCTACTTTTAAAATCGAAAAGACAGTCAGCAATGGTAAAGTTGAATAAACCATCTACATTTACACATAAAAATTGCAAGTTGTAATTTTAATATGTATTCAATTTTATAAATTGTTCAAAATATAAATAATTAGAAAACCACACAAACATATATAAACAAAATATATATTCAATTAAGATCACAAACGTCATGTAGTGGTATATCTGTCTTTTTAATTGGTAAATGTTAAATAACTGGTGTTTCAAATTTGTATTGAAGCTATTTAGTAACAAACAACTCTCTCAAAATAATTTGTAAGCTATTTATTTAAATAAATTTACTAGTACAAATATAAAACATAAAATCAAGAAAATAATTAAAATAATTTGAGAGATATTGTCTTTACACAGACTTATCCCATGGTATTATATCATATGTATTAGTAATACCTCCAAATGGAAGGTATTAGTAATACATCCTATAATACCATGTAGGATGTATAACTAATATACATGAATTAGTTATACATGGACCCAAATTCCTACCAGACATAGTACTAAATAATATCATACATATACATGAATTGTTTTTCTAAGGCAACCTACCAAACGACCCCTCAGTGTCATTATAGTGATCATAGTGATAGTATAATAACATGCTCGATTAATTTGAATTTACACCAAATAAGTCTATCGAAAGAGTAAAGTGGCATTTACAGTGAAGTTATCTATTTTTCAAGTATCAAATTATTCAAATATGAGATATTTAATTAAAAATTAAAAAACATCTTAATCGTTTTACAACTCCTTTTTATGATATTCATGAGAATGATTATGAAACAAACAAATAGTAGATAGATAAAAGTATAGATAGGTTTCTTGACAATATTCTATAATTTTATATGTAAAATTTGAATCTCTCTAAAAACGACTATTCTTTATTACGAGTTCTTGACAATATCCTATAATTTTATATGTAAAATTTGAATCTCCATGAAAGCG